GTGCTGTTTCCCACAACCCTGAGCCTGGCGTTTGCCGCAGGGATGGATTTCTAAAAGCTAACGGGTAGCAGCGAGGATCAGGCTTCTGCGCAGAGCCTGGCATGGCTTCGAGGCACAGAGTGAAGGCTCCTCTACCCCGCTCCTCCTCACCTGGGCAGCTCTTCAGAGGGGTTTCCGCATTTTCAGTTTCAGAAGGAAGGTTATATATTTATAGACACATATATATATACAGAGAGATATATATAAAAATAACCAGCAGCCTCTCAGCTGCCTGCCCGCCGCCTACACCCCTGATGCGAGAATGGTCGGTGCCTTTACCCACGTGTCTGTGCATGCGGCGGTACTCACACCCTGCTTTCTGAACTGAGCCCTTGCCAAACTGCCTTCTCCCCTTGGCCTGTTTCTCCAGGATTTGGCTGCAAAAAGCAAGGCTGAAGTGAAACCCCGGCTGCTGAGCTACTGCCCCTTTCGGCTGCTGACTGTGCGTGAGCTGGTGGCCCGGGGTCGGAGGTTTCTGATTTCTCCACTGAGCCAGGACAAGGCAGGGGAGCGAGGACATCTGTCACGAGGGGACAGTGGGAAACAAAACCCTTTGGTCCCTGCAGCATCCCCATGTGCTCCTCACCTGCCTGAAAACCCACGAGGGGATCCTGCTCGGTGCTGGCCCTGCTCTCGACCAGTGCCCTTTGCACCGAGTCCGTTTAACCCTGGCAAAGTGGTGGCAGGGCACCTTGTCTTCACATTCTGGCAGAGCATAGGGAGGGAAAACTGCTGGGGAGCATGTGGAACTCGGCTGTTCCCAGCTCTTGTCACAGCCTTCCGACGTCGGAGGTGACACTTGCCAGGCTGGGCTTGTGAAAAGGATTACAGAGCGCCCAGTGTCCCTGTCCTGCCATCTCCTCCCTGCCATACGTCTCAGCCCAAATCCTAGACCTCGTCCCTGCAGGTGTGGCCATGGGGAGCCTCCTTGCTGGCTTTCTGCATTTTTCGGCTTTCCCTGGGAGCGCAGGAGTGCCTGTTTCTCGGCAGGAGGGCCGGGTGTCGCTCCTGGTACCCGACACTTTCAGTTTGTAGGTGACTGCGCTTGTTGGGCACCTGGCAAGAAAGGAGCAGGGAACTCCCCTCCGAGCCACCGCTGGTCTGGGTTCAGGTCAGTGCTCATTCACTACAATGCTTCCTGAAAGGGTGGATTTTTTAATTTGTTACTGGTTTTCAGTTTTCACCTTCTCTCCCGCCTGCGCCTTGCCCCACACCCCTCCAGCTCTCCCCGTGTTTTGCCATCGGTGACGCTTGTGTTGGGGCAGAGATGCTCCTTTGGGCTTTGGCAGGGATTTCGTTTAGCAACTTTATAAAGCTTGTAAGAAATACTTCCTGCCATCCCGTGATTGTTTTCCTATTTCATCCATGTGTGGATATACACACGGGCAAGCGGAGGGGGGGCTTTTTTTTAAGTGGCAAAGCTGAGTTTTATCCAGCTGCGTGCTGGAGTTACAGAGGGGGGACCGGTATCGCTACCAGAGCAGTAAGACCACTGGTTATGGATGTAGGACCGCAATTCGTTAAATACCAAGTCACTTTGCAATTAATTAGGAGGTTAAGGGGGTTATTAAAACACTCGCATTTCTTTTTCTGAGTGTCTTAGCTGTATCTGTTCCTGGAGGCGTATGTAGCTGTCATTATTGGAAATCGCCTGGCTACTCTGAATCACTCTGTGCCCCACCCAGCCCTACATTGCTGCGGTATTGCATTTACTGCTCCCAGATTCACTGGTAAATTCACTCTCATCTTTTCCATGGGTTCGTTGGACAAACCAGGCTAAAGCTGTGCTCCAGGCATGGCTGGGGAGAGCCCCCGGCTTGGGGAGACCCAGAGCTGGGGGATTGGGGCAGAGCTGTCTCCCTTCAACCCTCCTCAAGCCTGGGATACTGGAGGGGAAAAGCAGTTTGGAGGCGGGGGGGGGGAATTAATCCAATTTTGCCTTGAAATAAGCTCCTAATTTGAAGTAGTGGAGCCTTTCTGGCACTTGTGTTTTAAGCAATAATTTTGATTGTTTAATCTAGGCACTAACTGGAAACGTGTAAACAGAGCTGGTCGGTTATAGCAGCTTCTGTCGATAATGACGAAATTGAAGTTTTTGGGGTAAAAGAGGCTTTCCCCGCGTACGGCCGCACACAGCAGCCTGCTCGGATGCGCCGAGCTCCACTCACCCAGCCCTCGGAGCCGAGCGCGGCGCAGTCAGAAGCTGCTGAGGATGTTGCACCAGCTTCCACATGATAAGATCTCTTGAAGAGCAACTAAAAGAAAAAACGGTAACGTTGCTCAAAACTGTGATAGTTTCAGTCTCCTGAAGAAAACACGCAGCAGAAATCAAGCTTACCTTCCTGTGACTCCCATCCTTCGGAGGAGGTGGCATCCATGCTAGAGAGCAGGAGGAGCGAGCTTTCTGCTTTTATTTCCTACCGATTTTCGCAGCAATCCCAGCCCCAGCGACTCCTTGTTAAACTTCCACATGTCTTCGGAGCACTGGAATCCTGCCGGCATCTGCAGCCCAGTACAGTGGCTGCAGAACAGGAAATCCTGTATTTTCTCTTCACCACACGAAACGTGTACAGCTAATGATGTTAAAACAACTGGGAAGGTGATGACGTCATTTGGTCCAACTGCCTGGCGATAGAGATCTCGGACGCGGATTTCTTTCCTTCTTTTTGCACAGAAGTTGTGTTAGGTGACGGTGTCCTTCGGTCGAGCTGCTTCTGCTTTTATCCACAGTCTCTTGCCATTTGCTTGCTAAAAACTATAAAATACAGAAGCAAAAATCTTCTCATAAGTGCTCGCTAAGGGAAAACTGAAAACTGTGCCAGTGTAAGTTACTGGAAGGCAGTAATTTTCCTTCATTTTCTTGGAAGTTTGGTTAGCCTCAGACTATCAAGGCTGTAGGCTAAAGCTAGGGGTTTGGACTTTATTTCTGAAATAATGTGATGGTTTAAGGTGGAGATTTTCCCAAAATACTGTTGTTTAAAAAAAAAAAAACACAACCAAAACAGAATGTGCATCATTCCCAATTTCTTTTTTTTCCCCTCCTTTAATTCCTTTCCTGTCTGTGTATATATACGCATATATATATAATTTTTAGTTCTTTTACTGTCTGCTAAGCATGACCTTCTTTCTGAATTGCTGAAAACTGGCAGGTATATATTGTGTAACTTATTATGAGCTGCCTCATTTCCAGCTGAACCCTTTTACTTGATATACAGTGTCACATCTTATGGCCCAGGGCTTGCAGAGAGAATACAGCTGTTGGCATCTTTCCCTTCCTTACTGTAGGTGATGTATAAATAGAACAATTCTTGCTCCGTTCATCTATTTTCTGTAACTGGTCTTATGACCCTGCAAAATGAACAGAAACATAACTGTGGAAGAGAAATGAAAGAAGGAAGCTATTATAGCCTCTAATTGTAGAATAAGTCACCAGCTCAGGGTCGGGGATCAAGCCTCCATCTTTCCCCACAGCATCGGAGCCCACCGGCTCTGCCCTCTGCGCAATGGCCGGGGTTTCTCCGTGCTGGCAGCAATGCTGAGCTTGGGGACCCGAGCGCACCCCTGTACCGTGAAATGAAGCTTCACGACAGTAGCGT